AAAGAAAAAAGACTAATAATCTTATAATATAGTATAGATTATAAATAGTAACTTCTAAGGCTACTATAAGGTAGCTAAAGGTCTACCTAAATAAATAAATAGACCTAAAGAAATATATTAAGGAATAGATAGTAGTAGTAAAGATAACTATAGAATATATTAGGAGGCTAAATAAAGTATATAAAGAAGCCTTTTCTTTTAGTATATAGTATACTTTATATATAATTATTATCCTAAAGGCCCTCTATACCTTAAAAATATAGTACCTTAGTAAAAGTAAGTAAAAAAAAAAAATATAAAATAAACTAGCTTATATTAACTATAGCCTAACTAAATAAGTAAAAAAGATCTAGTTAGTAATTAATACTATAATCTAGGGATACTTACTAGTCTAGAGGATAACTTTTACTTTTGTTCTTTTTTAAGAATCTAGTACCCTACTAGTAAAGCTTCTACTAGAAGCTATAAGGCAAAGGTATAGACTATAGCTTAGTACTCTTAATAAAGATTACCCCTTAGTCTAGTAAATTAAGAACTTCCCCTAAGTTAACTAAAAAAAAGGAGAGTTTATTTAATAATACTTATAGATATAGTAAAATCTATACTAAGATTTTTATAACTAGAACTTTAGTATAAAATATACTACTAGCTTTTAACTTACTAAGTAAAAAAATAAAGTAAAAAAAATACTATAAAAGATTATAAAAAATAAATAAAAACACTATTTTTAACTTATCTAATAGTTTACTTAAATAAGTTATAGATATTATATAATAAAATAAGGTATAAATATACTATATTTAAAAAAAAAGAACTAGTGCACTAAAGATACTACTAACTACTATATAGAAAAGTATATAACGCTAAGGTAAAAAGGGCTAAGGCTAGGCTCTAAAGTATACTTTAGCTTAATAAAGAGATAAATAGGATTATAGTGTACCTAAATAACTTAGTAGTAATATATAGGCTAAATAGAACACCTATAAAGTCCTTATAAAAAGCCTTCTTAGACTTTATTAATACTACTAAGGGCTATAAGGAAAAGATCTAAGTATACTAAGTACTAAGGTATATTAGTATAAGTAGAAATAAGCTAGTAGACACTTTAGTAAAAGAGAAAATAAAGATAAGCCTAGTAGACCTATATATATAACCCCTAATATATAGTTATATTAAGAGAAATATATAATAAAAGTAAAAAATAGCTTTTAAAGAATAGTAAATAAGATAATACTTAGCTAGCTATAAGCTACTTAAGCTTAGTATTAGCCTTTAACTAACACTAAAAGTTAAAATATTTACTAGAATAGAACTATACTAGCTAATAGTAATAAGATTAGGTTATAGTAACTTTACTAAGTATTATAATAAATTTAATTATAGTAAAATAAATATTTACTATATATATAGTAACCTAAAAACCTTAGTATACTTACTATAGTACTAAAAAGTTAAGAAGTATATTATACCTTAGTTTAATAAAAAGAATATATTATTAAATAACTAACTAGGAAATTTTAGTACTTTATTATATTACTAAATAATAATAACTTTTATACTAAGATATACCTAAGGGTATAAAACTATACTTAACCTATTACTTATATTACTATAGCTATTAGTTTACCCCTAGATATATAATAGCTAAAGCTACTAGTATAAGTATTTATTAGGTAGCTAAAATATATAGTAATAGTATAAGCTTTATAATAAGTAACTAATAGCCTTAATATTATATTTTTTTACTTAAGGTAGCTAATAACTAGGCTATATAAAGCTAACCTAAATAATAGTACTAAATATATAAGGCTTTTTATACTCTCTTTTATACTACTACTACTTTCTCTTTATACTACCTTAAAAGTAGTACTACTACTAATAATATAGCCCTTTTTTTTTTTATACTATACTTATTTACTTTTTTTTTATATATAACTTCTTAATATAGTACTAAAAGTACTTTTTTTACTAAAGATAATAAAAAGTAACTTTATAATAATATAAATATATAAGTAGTACTATATAACTAAATATATAAAAACCTTTAGCTAATTTATATAAAATATAAATTAACTAAGGGATACTATATAGAACCTAGTAGCTAAAGAGCCTTAGGCACTTAATAGTATAGAATAATTCTAGTTAAACTCCTAGGACATTAGTAGAAGCAAAAGAGAAGATAATAGTATAAGATATACTGATTATAATAGAGAGGGACTATATCTACTTTTGTACTTACTTAGGCGGAAGCCTGTAACCCTAGGCGCCCTTTGTCCTACACAGGAATAGCCTAGCGTTAAATATAACAACAACAACAACAATAATAACAACAACAACTTGGTCAAAGCTTCAAGTATTGTCTTTTCCATTTGTATCTGATTTTGAAGTAACTCATGTCATGTTATAATATTACGTTGCTTAATCAAAGACACGGGGTTATCGGGAGGCTTCTGTTTCACTTTAAGAAAGGTTGGCTTTCGACAGCGGGTGGCAACATTGTGAGATTTGAGCTAAACATGCTTGAGCGCCAACAAAAGTCTTGAGTTTTGTTTACACGTCGATTAGTGACTCGCTGAGAAGATAATTCGGTTTAAAATAAGGCCGTTTCTGCTTGAAGACAAAAGAAAAACAATTATTCCATGCATAACGCGATGCCCATCCGACGTCGGTAAGAAAAGATTCAAAGTAAGCGGGTGTATTAATGTATAATATGAAATGAGGACTGGATTGACGATCACATGATGGAGTACTTGTATCAACCTCTCTTCGGATAGCAATCGTTTTACCTCCCTTTAACCAGGGAATATTGTCATAAAAACACCCATACTTCTAGGAAAGCAAAACACGACTGACATGGTTGGAAATTGGAGATATTGTACTCCTGAGCTGACAAGAACCCCATCTCTTGTTTCGTCCTCGTAACATGAGCATGGTGCATCTCGTATTGTCATAGGGCGGTTATAGACGTAGGCACGGGCCACTCTAGCAGGGTTTCGGATTTTCTGTACATGATCAAGAAATTTCTTTTCACTTGGCAGCAAATACCGAAGCGTCAAAAGAGCAGTCGTCCTGCATTAGGAAGTACAAAGTCGATTGTCGTGAGGTCAGCCAACCAAGTGGAATATGTATGCACGAAAGAGAGGGTTGGCGGAACCCAATGGCAGACCAGACCCCAGTGGGCGGAGCATCGTCCGCCTCACTGATTGGCAGCTACAGGCTGCGCAAATACTCCATGGTCATCATCTAATACAACTCCAATTCTTAATATCGTCGCACCCTTGTGCCTTTTGAGCCCCGATGACGGTTTGCAGAAGTTGCTACACACAGTCTAGGCTGTGCAGGCTCTCCCTTGACGACGATCTGTCAGCTTGAATTGGGGTGGGGGCTACATGGTCAAAAAGTACATATTTGCTACCATGTACGGATACTCCGTACGGTCCCCCCATCTAGCAGGAAAAAGCAATGTGGAAGATTGGCGCAGAATACGCCTCTTCCGTCGCGAAGAATCTTCGGGCAGGAGTGAACTTGGGGGCTAGGTAGTGCTTCCAGCCGTGCGTTTTCAAATCCGTGATGTTTCCCGTCTCGAGGATTTATCGTCGAGCAGCCTGTCAAGGAAGCAAAGGTTGCGCGACGGCTTCCCCCTCTTCTGCGATTATAAGCTTGCCCGGATTTGGGTATGCTCCGAATGTGATCTGCCTAACAGAGCTAATTATTTGAGTCTCAAGCGGCCCTGTATCCGTCAGCGTAGCATGCCGGGAGGACGTGCCTCCCCAAAGACTGTTGGTTTCCATTTGAGAACAGGAGAAGGGTGGAAATGGGTTTCCTCGCAGCCACTTTCTGTTTCCTACAGAGACCGGTTGTTTTTAATGGCTCACCCTCTGTCTCCAGCCTGCTGATGTCATTTGAGGGTTGCTAGTCTTCCAACGATGAGACTTGCAGGGAGGGGGAGGGGGCCCCAATCTGCAGCTCGCCAAGTACGCACATATCCCTGGCTGTGTGTCCTGGGAACGGGTCAGGCGGACAGTCTCGTAGGTAGACATGCTCGACATGCTTTACCCCTCAACAGCTCCTCGAAACATTCAAAGAACATAAAGTAATGTTTCCAACTCGGCCGTCCGGATTTGTTTTGTCACTTTTTTTCGTTTCGCCACCCAATTATCGTATTCAGCATGATGGCTTCCACTTTCTGCTCTGCTACACCGGGCGGCCTGCAAGGCTGCTTCAAGGCTGACCGACCGCAGTCACCGGGCAGTGCTGGAAGCTAAATGTCAACAGTTTGAACCAAGAATGCCTTGGCCGACTCTCCGCAGGTTGCCCACGAAGGCTGAGCACTTTCTTACCTGAAGCCGCCAAGCAGTACCGTGTCTGTTTCTCTCTCTCTCTCTTTCTCTCTCTCTCTCCCTCTTCTTCAGCCGTACTCCTCACCTTTCCTTTCGAGGCACTTGTTCAGCCTGAAGACTAACATCTCGACTGTAGCGCTAGCCCCGCTTTGAGGTTCGAAAGGCGACCGAGCCATTGGCAACCCATTGGCGACCCATTTTCCTTAACTTCTTCCACGTCCGGCCAAGCTCCCCTTCTGAAAGCCACATGCTGGCCAGATTGAGACTAGGCCCAGACTTATCACCGCCCCATGACAAGAGTCATAGCCAGCAGCAGACGAACAAATCCTAATACGCGGCCACCAGCAGAGAATCGATGACTCCATATATCTCTTAGAGACAGGGTACGCACGGTCTCGTAGGAATACGACGAGCCCGCGAGGCTACCGGTCAGCACAAAGTGGAACAAGCCACTAAGTGCTGCGCCTACGAGTAGTTCTTCGAAAGTGTACGTTGGTGCCTAACAAATCGTAGCGGCGGCAAGAACGACAAGCGTATAAGAACCTGGGCTTCTTCTCATGTCTAACGCACCACGTCAACCCGATTTGGTGAACCGCCAAACAAGTCCAGTATTACTTTTACTCTTTTCTTGGTTGAATCCTGTTTTACATTAGCATTGAAATGGACAGTGCCAAGCAAAAGTCTGGCTCGAGCCGCAAATCTTCTAGCCAAAGCGGAAAACGGCCCAGACACAGTTCGAGCGGACCGGTGTCGTCTTCAAGCTCCAACCAGCAACAGCAAGTGCCACGCACTTTAGTCCAGCATCTAGAGTCAAATCGTTATTCTCATTCTACCAAGCACCAGCCACAACTTTCGAAGAACTACGATACATCAGATAGTCGATCGAGCGTGGTTTCGTGGAATAGTACAACGGGAAGTGCGAAGTACGTTCATGATGCGCGAGATGCGAGTGGCTTCAGCTGACTGATGTTAGTGATGGATACAGCGGTCGTAACGATGACTACAGGTTATCCGATGTGCAGTACAGTCGCCAAGTGCGCCAAGACCATGCCAGAAATCTTCCAGGCCCCGCCCTGCCTTCACATCAACGAGCTACCCCGAAGAAACAAATACGTGACTACGATAATAAGTTTGGAGGATATCAACCCACCACAGTGGCTCCAAAGCAGTATTCTTACCCTCGAGATCTCGAGATCGACTCCTAAGAAATGCCAAACAACAACCCCAGACGAGATTTCTAAAAAGGTAAAGTTTATCGCCTTAGGCTCTTCAAGTCAAGCACTAACTTTGCTTCTTAGGCTGGTAGTTATGGATGACTCCATCCAATCACTATAGACTTTGTCTTGATGCAAATCATCACCACAGCCCTCAGCGATAGACTCCTTTCCTTCTTATACTAGAGACCCGACAACAAATATGGACACCATAGAAAGAATTCCACAAGGGCAGTTTCGCAACAAGACGAAAGAAAACCGAAACGAGAAACAATACAAATATTGAATGTGTTGATAGTCCACACGAGGTATGAAAAGATAGGAAAGGTGCTTTTTTTGGACTTACAACCGGAGGATTTTTTAGTGGAATATACTTGTTCGCGTTAGAGTGTAGATGTTTCTCCGTAGGCGTTATGTAGTTGAATAGCATGTCCGATTAAGTATCTTGGGGTGCTGCAATGTGGGAAGGTGTAGCAGAAGTACGAGGTCTTATAGTTGCCAGGTTAACATTGGGGGGGGGTATCACGTGTGCTGTGTAACTTATTTCCTCTGAGGCTCCGCCGTCCAGGCCAGTGTTGTTTCAGCATGTTTTGATGTACTGGGCATCAGCGTGCTGGCGTGTTTTATGTTATGTGGCTGACTTTGTGCCATCCATTGGTTGTTGACAGTTGCTGGTGGACAAGTATCCGAGGCTCGTCTTCGAATGGATGATTGTTGGGCACCGAGCCATAACGATCTCCCATTTCTATGTGGAGTCTTGAGCAGATTCAAAGTCTGCCTTACTCTGATGTCTTGTCTCGTGGAGTCTGGATGGAGTCTATGAGCTCATTCTAGAGGGTTGAATATGCCGACTGCCCTGCAGACGTCCTTTGATTGCTGCGCGCGATGTTCGCCGCGTCCATCATCGGCAAGCCATTGCTGGTCGGTGTAGGACGCTGTTATACCGATAACTTTCGAGTCGCATTCCCGTTTGAAGCTGGAGCTATGTGGGGCTTAAGGCATTGAGAGCCCGTGATTTGCAGCAAACAGCAACAAAACAGAAACAGATATGAGGTCTGCGAAGAGACAGAGGTGACGTTGAATTAACTTTCGAAGCGGTCAAAGCGGACCGAGATTTGCACCGGGGGGCTGTAACGGGCTTCGGTTTGCGGTGAAAGCGACGGAAGCAACGCTAGACACGGGAAACAATGCACTTGACCTCTTCAGATGTCGCCACCTGACAAGCCCAAGATCCGAATGCAGATTCCCGTCTGCCTTTTCCCTCTCGATTCTGGGGATGGGCAACCTCTAAATACCATCCGGAGGAAACGAACTCAGAAAGCCGTTGGTGGCCTGATCCTTCGCAACAAGCATCCCACTCCTCAGGGGCGGAGTCTCAGCAAAATTAGCACATGACTAACCTGCTTGCTCATCATCAGCTCCTGCCTGTCATGAGCAACGGTGCATTGCTTTTTACCGGAGGGATCTCCCCGAACAAAGCGCGGAAACTAAGGCAGCAGAAGCACCCTTGTATGGATTGGATCGTGAGGTCTTCGGTGTGAGTCAATTGGAGAAATGGAGGCAACAGTCCGAACCGAGCACTGACGGTACTTTTTTAATGCAGCCTCAGCTCAAGATCGCAAGCGTGCCATTGCGGTTCTCTTCGGTTTACATGTTGCGCCAAGCATCTTAGCTGAGGCATTCTTTCCGGGACTACGCTATTACGCTTGACAGTTGCAAGCCACGGCTAGGCGATTCCAGACTTACATCGATTCGTTCATCTACGTCTGGTACATGAAACCCTCCGCATCTACCCGTCCTTCCAACGCCTCCCGAAGCAAAAAAACCAAGATGTCTCAAAAACTCATTGAAATCGACGGCCGAACAGGAGAGGGCGGGGGCCAGTTGGTACGCGTAGCCATCGCTCTCGCCGCAGTGACATCGCAAGGGGTCCGCATCACCAACGTGCGTGGCAATCGGCCGTCGCGCGGTGGTGGCGGCCATGGAGGAGGTGGCGGTGAGAGATCCCACGCTTGCGAGCCTACGCGCACTCATCAGCAGGATCGCAACAGGCTGACGGAGCCCCGTTTCTCGGGGACTCCTCGTTTACAGGTCTCAAGGCGCAACACGTCACCGCCATCCGATGGCTGGCTGAGACAACAGACGCGGACGTCGAGGGCCTCTCCGTCGGCAGCGGCACCCTCACCTTCGCCCCGCGGCTGCCCCCTTCGACCGCCCTCGCCGGCAAACCCCGCATCATCAGGATCGATGCAGACACGGGCGCCGCGAGCACCCTCCTAATCCTCCAGGCCATCCTGCCGTTCCTCCTATACGCCGCAGCGGACGACGATGACGACGGCTCCGCGCCCATCGAGCTGGAGGTCACAGGCGGCACGAACGTGGGGTGGTCGCTCTCCTACGAGTACCTCGACCAGGTCCTCCTTCCCCGCCTGGAGTCCTGCTTTGGTATAAACGTCACGCGGAGGCTGAAGCAGCGTGGCTGGAGCCTGGGCCCGCAGAGCAGGGGGTCCATCGTTCTCAACGTCAACCCCTTGAGACTGGGCCAGACACTGCGTCTTCTGGATCCGGGTGTCGCTTGTGGAGGCCTTCCCAGTTCCGAGGTCACCCACGTAGACGTCTCCATGATCGTCCCCTCGCACATACACGCCGACCTGCAGAACACCCTGGTGAGCGCCCTCGCCACGTCCCTGCCCGACGCCGAGGTCAACTTCAAGGTCGTCGAGGACTCGGGCCACGACGCGCGCGTCTACGTGCTGCTTGTGGCGCGGTCCGCCTCGGGGCTTAGATGGGGCCGCGACGTGCTCACGTCGATCCCCAAAAAAGGGCGGCAGCAGAGGGAACCCGTCGCCTCCCTGGTCTCGCGTAAAGTCGTCGGCGACTTGGTTAAAGAGCTCGCGGTACCGCGGTCCACAGCCGACGAGTTTCTGCAGGACCAGCTCGTCATCTTCCAGGCGCTGGCCGACGGCCGGACGTCGTTCCCGCGGTGTCCCTTGGCGCGGGGCGCTGACGTGGAGGTCTTGGAGCAGGATGTGGCGCAGCTGGACGTTGGCGAGAGGATGAGAAGGGACAAGGCGGACAAGCCATTCGGGCATGGCAGCTTGCACTCGCAGACGGCGAGGTGGGTGGTATCGCAGATCCTGCCGTCGGTGGAGTGGTACAACAAAGGGACGGATTGCAAGGGGGTCGGAACGAGCTTCAGTTAGAGAAACTGGATATCAAAACGAAGCAACCTATAGGGACCCCATAAAGGGTTCAATCTCGACCTAGGTAGTCTACCTACCCCCAACTCCGAACCGAGCGCCAGAAACCTCGACAGAAACGCAACACATGTAATGTTCGAAATGACTTTTCACCTTCCAACTATTATTCTTGCTCTTGCAGACTCTTTGGAGTAGCACGAACCGTCCACTGCCCCTCCCTGACATAAGCAGGGCCGCACTTCCAGGAGCAGCCCCGCCTAAGAAATGGGACTGCACCATCATTCTCCTCGTCCAAGTCGGTCCATGGCCGGGCTTTGACGGCGTAACTCTCCTCGGTTTGCCTGCTCTCTACGAAACAGACCTGCCACCACTCGAACCACTGGGTGGTCGGGGCCACAAAGGGCTTCTTGCACATGGCACACGTAAGCCCGCCCGCCTCGCGCTGATCCGCAGCACGCTCCAGCAGGGCCTGCAAGTGAGACAGCGAATCAGGGATATAGTTGGGAAGCTCACCCAGGTCGGAGCTCTTGTATGCACTGCGCAGCGCCAGCTCCACCAAACTAGGGACGCGGCTCCCCTTAACACTCGCAACGCATCTTCCAGCAGATTTTGAGTGGTAAGGGGCGGATGACGTCGGGGGGCCGCTAGACGTGCTTCCTTGGCTGCCATCCTGTCGTTCCGTCTGCACAATGACAGCCTCCGGGTCAAGGCGGAAGTCTGAATGCGACAAACCCAAGCTGTCCAGGTAGTGGACGGGTGACCGTGCAAAGAACCTTGCGGCAACCCCGTCAGTTCCCAGCTTCCACGCTCCGACAAGTTCCAATCCTTCCGAACCATTGCTTTCAAGGTTTTCCAGACCAGCAAGACGTGGTCGTTCGGTCGCCTGGAAGAAGTGGTTGCCCTGCAGAAGCAGCTCTTCTAAGGCGGAGGGGGCGGCCATGAGATCAAGCAGCTCTGCAGGGAGGTATCTCAGAAGATTCTGTGCAAGGTTCAGGGTGCGAAGGCGCTGCATCTTGCCAATGGCGGGAGGGAGCTCCCTCAGTCGGCATCCGCGAAGCGACAGCACAGTGAGGTGCTCCAGATCGAAGATAGCGCCTGGAAGCTTAATTAGAGGATTACGGTACAGGTAGAGTTGCAAAGCTGGATCCTTCTGCTCGAACGGAACGCCCTCGGCCACGATAGGTATGCAGGAGAACTCGGACAGGGGGCGAATGGTAGCATCGGAGAGTGTCTTGAGTTCCATCATGCTGGTCCTAGTTAGATTACGATTGCAATGCATGACGCAGGGCACTCACGAGAGATCAATATACTCGTTGCCAGAGTCCAGGCACTGCTGGATCCTTTCCCGGGCCTCCAGCTCCTGGGCCGAGATGACGTTGCGACGACGAGGTGGCGCCAGGTTCAACTGGGGCAATCTCGACTGCGTCGGCAGATCGGGCATCATGATGCTCTCATCCCCATCGGTGCTGTCGCTGCCCATCCACACACCACTGTCCAAATCGCGCTTCAACGTCCGCTTGCCCCTCAGCGCCGGCCGCGGCTCCCCGGTAGCCGAGTCAGAGGACGCGGGCTGCTGATGAAACCAGGAACCCACGTACTTCTTCTTCTTCCTCCTGCCCTCAACATAGTTGTCTAGACCTGGGTCATCATCGCTGGAAAAAACGGCGGGGTCGCTGGAGTTGGACCATGACGGGGGCGCAACCGAATGGCTCTTGAAGTTGTACCTGCGCTTCCTCGGGTTGTTGCTAAAGCGCTCAGTCTGCGCGTCCCACGAGATAGAAGGTGACAGGCTGGGCAAAGTCGGTTCGTCGGCCATGGTGAAGATTGGAAAAGGAGGAGTAAAAGAGATAGAGGAATTTAGGGTGGTGCGCGCGATTGACAGCCGATATCAAGGAGGATTGGGAAGCTCCGACCCGCCACCACGACCCCCCCTCGCGGATGGGCGCGCGCGTCGCGCCGCAAGTGGGGGTTGGAACGCGTTCGGCTAGGGGTCAGACCCACAGGGGTTGTTCGATCACCCGATCTCCGATGATAGCTCCGAGCAAACCCTTGGTTGGTGTCGAATATGTGCAAAAGCTACGTAGAAGATGTTCTTGATTGTAGGCGTGATATGGACTGTATTTTTTTAATTTTTATTGCCAAATGGAGGTAATTGGTTCCCTTGAGACGCGGCCATCACTGGCTTGCTAATTATCCCAAGAAACTTCCAGTAGTTACCTAATTATACCCAAACGGCTTAGCGTCTTTTATCCTCGTAGTTGAGGAATTCCGGAATCCGAATACCCTTCACCCCACACATTGCACAGACCAGTTAAGTGCCGTTGTCTCAAGGATCCGCAGCGGCAACACGCGGGGTATCAAATGCACGAAATCCAGGTACCAAATGTTGGCTATTTAGGCATGATTACAATCCTACCCTGATTAGTAGCCAGTGCATCATATCCCAGAGTCGTTCGTGCTACTGATGCCTTTTTCTTTTTTGTTTGAATTAGGGTGTATCGAATCACTTTTCGATGGAGCTTCTACTTTGATTGGGTAAGCTCCGTGATCCGGATTCGTCGACCGCGACAGGGTCGTGCATCCTGTACCAAGGACAGCATGGAAATTGGGACGCAGCTCTGTTTGGCCAGCATCAGTTTAGATATTGCCAATATGTATCCGTCTTGTTCTTTCTGGCAATGGCCAACGGGGCCTGGGGGGTCAAAATCGCAGTCGCATCCCCCCTCCATGAGCAGTTTGCGCAACAAAGTCGCATCCAGCTTGGCCTGACTAAACTAACAGCATGGAATGCATTGTTCAGTCCCATTCATCATCATCGCTGTCGTGCGCCTTGGACTTTGACACGTTGCCCTGCCTAATACCCTTGCCCATCGCCCTCTCTTCTTCCTTATCATCAGCTTGCCTCCGGCGCTTGGCCACGCGCATATCCGACTCGGGGACGGCGCCAACCTCGACCAAAAGGTTGTCAATGTGCAGCATATTGATCTTGACGCCTCCCATCTGCATGAGGGTAACGACCTGCTTCACAATATCGCTATTCTTGTAGACCAAGATTGTGGGACAGTTCCGCTCAGGGTAGTTCTCGATAGCCTTGTCTGCGCGCATCTCGCAGAACTTGATCTCTCCATATTCCCGCGCCGCCTGCCTCCAAAGTTCAGAGAGCACGCGGGACTCGACGTTGGTTCCCAAAGATGACGTCAGGTTCACGAACACGGGACCGTTGTTCGAAGCTTCCGTGACCTCCCGTGAGTACTCGGGTTTCGAGATCGGGTAAACGGTGCCGTGGAGTGCTTTCCTGGTAAGGTCATTAAGCTCCTGCATTCTGCGCTGGCGGTATTGCTCCAGGAACGCCTCATCCTCGTCATCCTCCAGCTCGTCAAGCTCGTCGAGGTCCTTGCCCTCCAGTCTGTTCTCGTGCGCTAACCGCCGTCCTTCGGCAATGGCCTCTTCGATCATGGGCGTCGGGCTGGGTGGCTTCTCGGGAATGACGCCATGTTTGCGGAGGATGTCGTTCCTGGCAGCACGTGTCAGGGGTCGTCGAGTAGCTGTCACAGTGCAACATACCACTCGGTGTCTGCGTTGGGGTCATCGATTGGGACCTGTATTCTCTGGTCCATGGGGGCAGCCATTGTGAAATATTCGGCGTGTGGCGGCGAGATGGTGCCAGGGGGGTCAAAGATGTGAGTCGCAGAGGTGAGGACAGCGTCAGACCGGGGATGGAGACTAAGTATGATTGTAGAGTTACGAATGGTGTGGCTTTAGGCGGCAGGGAAACGTCGCAGGTGCCTAAGCACAGTGGAGGCTAAGAACGACAATGCGCAAGGCTCTCCAGGTGAGCTGCTGCTGCATCAGCGCAGTGCCCCGCGCCTCACCGAGCTTTGGGCGACCGGCCCCAGTACGGTCCACACCCGCCAATCAAACCACACACAAAGCAACGAGTCACGTGGAAGGGTTGACGTGCCCTCCAGCACTAGCCGGAAACGGACTAGTACGCGAACTTTTCGCCATTGGAGAGGGAAAGTGCGGAGGATTTTGTCAACGACGCTCCCATCCACCGAACAATCCGCCATCTCTGCGAGTGCAGCCAGAATCTACTTCCAACACCATCAGATTCCCGTCAAGTCCACCGCACTCGCACCGACCCCCGATCAATCAACTCGATCAGATCAGTCAAGATGGTAAGACCCTCCCGATGCTGCCGCTGCCAGCGCGTGGCGACACGTGTGTGATTTGTTACTTGTCGACGAACGAAAAATCCGAACACCCGACCGAGATGGAAACCCGCGAAGAGGCGACAAAAAAAATTTCAAGAGGAGGGACAGATGGTATGGCCCGGCTGTGGAGGAAAGGACACGACGATTACACATGCGATATTTGATGAAGGAACCATCATGCTGATGGATTCTCCCCCAGGTTCTCGCCGTTGATCTCCTCAACCCCTCCCCGGCTTCCGAGGCCCGCAAGCACAAGCTCAAGGTACGATAGACGCCCATGATGGCCTCACCTTGCCTACCCCATTGGCCTCGAACCTTTCGTGCTCACAAATTGGACAGACCCTTGTGCCTGCCCCCCGATCCTTCTTCATGGACGTCAAGTGCCCCGGCTGCTTCACCATCACCACCGTCTTCTCCCACGCCCAGACCGTCGTCATCTGCCAGGGATGCACCACTGTCCTCTGCCAGCCTACCGGTGGTAAGGCGAGACTCACCGAGGGCTGCTCTTTCCGCAGAAAGTAAACTGTCTATCGTGACGGTTTCTTTGTAGCCCTTGGGTATTAACGACTTGGACGGTTCATCACTGGTGGGACATCTCGGATCTGCAAAAGCAAGCGACCTGGGCATGGGCGTATAGACAACCCTGGCACGGGCTCTTAGAGTCTGCTGTCTTCGAACAGAACATAATCAGACAATCTTTGCGGATAGAAGATGGAACATCCAAAAAAAAATTCCTTGACCAAAAAACACAGGGGCGTTTGGGGGTCTCCGGATATCCTTTGCATCACCAATCGACGCATTTTCTCAGTTTTTTTCCTCGCGGCCGACGGACAATCAAAAAAAGCAAATCAGTCAAACAAATCACTCGCTCGCTCTCTGTCTCTCGTCCCACGCCTGTCTCTTCTGCAATGCGTCACGTCGTTCTGTCGCCAATGGGGATTCCTTTTTTCTTGGTCGTCTTGTCTGCATGGGTGGACAGCTGGAAATGGCTTTTCACATGAGCGTTCGAGTGGTCTGCGATGCGGACTCTCTGGACGCGAGGACGTGGAACCTGCTGATTGAGGATCGCTTCATACCCAAGTGTAGTGAGTTCGGAGGATTCAGCACTGCTCGCGAAATTCAATGGTTTCCACACACACCCCTTACCTTTTCTTGTGATGCCTTCATGAAACCGTTTTTTTATTTTATTTTTGCCCCCTGTGAAGTGACGTGCTCTCGTGTACCTTGACGGATCTGCGACTGCTCCACTGGCTACCCACTTGTTTGAGCCCTGTCGTGAAGTGAGGCTCTGGACAGTTGAGACTTTGGCAATCAGGCACTTGTTTTGCTGTTCTGGATATAATTTGCTCCATTACGGCAATATCGTAGGCTCTGCGAACAGGTTGCTTCAAGCAGTGTGCCTGAGCAGGCTTTATTTGCAATGCAACGTATAAGCTTGGCAGTTCGTTATGTGAAATCGGGCCCCTTGCGCATGCGCCTACCAGTCTAGAAATATCGTAACTTACTGAATGACTTGACTGCCTTGACGGTACTCAAGATTGGTTACACAATCGGGGCTCAGTGCCAATCGTTACACCGCCGTAACGTCCCCTCACGGGTTGTATTATGCCCTGTTTTGTCCCCCCTCGGCAGGAAGATCCAAACGCATATCAGAGCCGTTTTCACTGGGGATCGCCTGGTCGCTGCGTCATCCGTACAACGGTGGCCTACACTAAGTGTGCCATCGATTCGCTGACCACAGAGGAAGGTATCAAACGTTAAGAGAACTCTAAGCGGCTTTCTGAGTTTCTTCATCAAGCTTCTCGGGTCCATTAAGCCCAAAGGCCGAGTAATGTCCCGCAATATGCAGAAACCCAAAATAGCATCGGAGACGCAAAGTGTTTATCCCTCTCCCTTAAGCTCCTCTCCGTCAGCTGTGAACCTGCTGCTTGACAGTGGCAGACACTCCCCTACCAGCCATTATAAGTTTCAGGGTGTGCGGTCCCAACAGAACAGCTTATTGAGTGGTTTTTAGTGGGCTCCTGCCGCGAGACTCTCGCGAAAAAACACGCCTTGACGCGCTTTCGGACGGATCGTCAGCAGGCTCCTTCTGCTTCCTGCTCCTCAATGTTGGAAACCGCCCGGTGACCCTGCAATGCACTGAGGTCCCTCCCCCCCACCATCCGTCCCCCCTCGCCCATCAAACTAATCTCGCTTTCTCTCCTGTACCCAACCTCCTCCCATTCTTCGTCAGAACATCTCCCCTCCCGCTATTCTACGTCATTTCTCGCTTGCAATCGTTTCTACGGATACCATCTCCTTTACTCGTCTTTTTGCGACCAAAAGAAGACTCTCCACCCCACCAAGCCTCCCGCATCTCACGATCCGTTCCGTCTCCAACCCAAATAAAACACCCCAAAGCCTCCATCACAGCCACAGCGACGACCATCCCCTCACCATCGGCTTCGACATACTCGAACGCACAGTAAAGCTAGCTCATATTATCAATCTCCCTTTCCGCTGCACAACCATGTCGGCCCCGCGGACGAAGCGCCCCTTCGCCGGAGCATCCAGCGATCCAGCCCAACGTCAAATCACCTCCTTCTTCGCACCCCAGTCCGGCCCAGCGCCCCCATCTGAGACAGCATCCACCTTGACCACCAACAAGCTCCCCCCCGACGTGCAGTCCAACCTCCTCTCTGTCGGCATGCGCGTCCGCAAGTCCGTGCCCGAAGGCTACAAGACCGGCGGCACCTACAAAAGCGTTAAGCTTTCGGCCGATACCACGGAACCCCGCATCCCCGTCGTCCGGACAACCAACACTGTCCGCAACCGGAACGCCACCGCCGCCCAGCGCGAGCTGCTGCCGTTCTGCGGCATCAATAAGGTTGGCGGTCTGGCGAGCCAGCCAGCCTACGCAAGCGAGAGCGAGCACGAAGAGGAGGGCGTGCCTGGCTTGGATGACTTGCCCGGCCTAAGCAGCTCCCAAGAGAGCGTTGAGAGCACCGCAAGTGACGGACGGAGCAAGAAGCGCTTCTTTGTTGACGAAGAGACCGACGAGCCCGTTCAGGTGTGGGCGAATCGCACGGCATGGCTGGACAGCGAAGTCAGTCCGCGGAGCCTGGCGCCGTCCGGGTTTGCGAATGCTCGTCCGTTAGCGGTGCCGAGAAAGAGCCACCGCAAGTCCACGGCGGAGCAGGAGAACTTAGTCGTTGACGACTTTGATGACGCGGATTTTCTCGTCTCGCTGGACACCGATATGAGCGATGCATAGTGTCTGTGGTCTGTTGTACGATGCATTACTGTTAGATAGGGGTTTGCGGCGCCTGGAGTCGGGATTGTGGAGATGGAGGATGGCTTTTCATCTGTACTCGGCAAGAGCTGCTTCGAGGACATTTGTTTTATCATCAGGACGAAGATTGAGAAAGAGACCGTTATGCCTGGGGTATGGATCGTGGAATTGTATTAGGCCCCTTCTTCTGGGCCGGATGGTTTCTACCGCTGTTTTGATATCGTGGGCTATAGCATGCTCCTTGGATGCCCTCAGGGCCAACAAATTGTACACTTTTTTCTCGGACAAGATTCTCCCTGCGTCCACCCCCCTCCCACCCTCGATCATTGCACGCTGTCCCCTCTTACATACCTGTGAAGGGGTCCCGGAACTCGAGCAGGTCGCGCTGTCCGTAAAACTCGCCGGCGACCGTCAGGATCATGTTGAGCGTGGCCCGCATGTTCATCCTGGCGCGCAGCTGGGTGGCCGTCTCCTCGTCTTCGGCCTCCGCAGCGGGCTGCCCCTCCGACGGCGGCTTGGACGGCTCGTCCTCGGCGGCCGTGTCCAACTGCGCGAGAAGCCTAGCTCGTGCCGCTTCAAGTGACTCGGTCGGCGCAGGCTCCTCAGCGACTTCGCCCTCGTCGATCTCGCCATCTTCTGAGACATCCATCGACTCGGACTTTTGGTCGTCACCGTCGTCGTCAATCTCTCCGTCCTCGACCTCACCATCCTTGGTGGGCTCCCTCAATATGGGGCCGGGCTCCTCGGGCCCTGCCTCCACCGCGGGAAGGGCCTCTGATCCGGCACTCGGCGTCTCCGCCACGTTCCCACACACCTCCTCCCCATCCCTCTCTTCGACCTCCATCTCCCGCAACACGTCCTCGTCGTCCGAGCTCTCGTCGACGGCGTCGTGCACCCCCAGGTCCATCCCCTCCCCCTCCAGCGCGTCCCGCAGCGCGGCCATGTCCGCCAGGCTCTGCATCATTAGCACCGCCCTCCGGCCCAGATCCCTCACCCACCCGATCTCGGCGTGGTTCAGCTCCCCGCGCTCCGGCAGCCGCGCCAGCAGCGCCCACAACCACCGGCTCGTGCGCTCCCGCAGCTCACAACCCCGGCGGAGGAACTTGCCGCCCAGCAGCACGCGCACGACACGCAGCACGCAATCTTTATCCATGCTCGCGACCTGCGCCGGCAGGGGGTCCGTGGCGCGGAGGCGCTGCGACCAGATGGCGAACGTGCCCGACTTCGGGCCGAAGGCGCCGACGTGGTAGTCGTGGGTGCGCGGAAGCCCGGCGACGACGCCCGGCGGTGGCGTGGCGTGGAGTGTTCTGCGGAGAGTGTTGAAGCGGGAGAGGATGGCGGCGAAGTAAGCCTCGTGAATCTCCGCTTCCGGGTCCGCCGTGTTCTCCTCCTCCTCCTCGTCGTATACGCCCTCATTGCCTTTCCATTCGTCGTCTTCCGCATCGCGGTGGTCAAGGGCGCGCGGATTGTCGTCCCAGTGGTCGGGCCGCGCTGTGTATGCACCGTCGTGATAGTAACCTCTGAAGTCGCCCTGGCCGGTGGTGTAGATGTCGCGGTCCTCCTCGATATCCATGCCCTCGTCTATATCATCGCGGCCGTCGTTCTGGAGCTCCTCGGGCAGTTGCGGGCCGATCGGGACCTTTGGTGCGACGAGGAGGTGTGGGATGCCGTTCGCTTGCGTCCTAGAGTGCTCACCATATCAGCATCGTTTGCGACTACTTCAAAGAGACCAGTTCAGCATTTGGAAGAGAACGCAGGCGGGAAAGGTCGGGAAGATCTGCTTACCTTACTGATTCGAGATACGCCATGGCATCTGCGTCGTCCTCAAATTCGAGGTCCGGGTCTACAGGAACTGTTGTTGAGCCGGCGACCGACGAGAAGACGTATTTCTGGCCCCATGTCGGGTCGATGTGGGCGTTCTGGTGGTCGCGTGTCTTGGGTTTGGGCTGCTTGTTGCGCTTAGGCGCCGGTTCGGCAGTGTCGTTCTCGTCGGAGGCCGCGTAATTGCGCTTCGAAGACATCCTTGAGGCCGAGAGGCGGGTGAAGTGGGAGCGCAGGGTCGGAGAAGGAAAGTCGCGGCGGCAAGTGTCTTTGCTTGGATGATGAGTCGCGAAATTTCCTGACCTCTGCGAACCGACAGATGGGGAGCTTCTTCTGCCAACTTTTTAGTGGAGAAGGGTCTTTGGTGCGTGGGGCCGGTTTCTGACGGCCTCCGCCAACCGGCTGACCGATGCTTTTCTGGCTTCATCGGGACAATCAACTCAGCTTCAAGCGTTGAGTAAAATAAGAATAGCTAATAATTAAATTCTCCTTATTGTTTCTCTCTATTCCAGAAGTGTTTTGTTTCACAGTTTATACTGAAAATATTGAAAGTATCAAGTGTTGTCAGGAACTATATGGAAACAAATGTGCATAAAAAACAAAAGTAAAGTCCAAGGTCTATCAAGTAGGCTAGAATAGTGGTCAATGCGATGAGAATATCTTGTAGACTTGAGAAATACTAGCACTAGTAGACAAACCGCTTGATTCTGATAGTTTAACCATTGAGACTATGTTTCACGCACCCCAGATTCAAAGGCACATCGTATTTATCCACTTTCAAAAGCCCAAAATGTTTCTGAGCCCAAGTGGAAGATGGACGCATAAATTCCAAACAAAGAACAAGTGACGCGACTGTATGATTGGGTAACCTCTCCTCCTCAAGACTTCAGTTTCATTCTCTTCTCCCGAGCGCCAATGCCTAAACGATAACTGCACTTCCCGCGACGTGGCTGAACTTCTATCCGAGTTTGAAGAATTTGCTTGAAACATCTAACGGGAACTACGACAGAGCTCATGGGAGTCTTTATTGTTGTTTCAATGTTGAGTTTCATAGGAGAACGACAATGAGTCTGTATGACAAGCGAAAATGGTATTACAATCAACGCCTTTGGTGATGAATGACAGATATCTCGGTTTACAAAGAGGATGAACGAAATATCTAGTTGCTGTGATCAGCGGCTGTTGTTTGTAGTCCACGAAAGCCGTTTCTACCCTCGGTTTGCTATGCTTGACCCGGATAGTGTATCTCATATTTACTCATCTTCTCTCTGCATCGTTTGGTGAATTCTTTGATCCTCTACCGGGTGTTGCTCGACAGGGCATCTAGCAGATGTGTATCCAACTCGCCTTCTCCATGGATCTCATAGAGGGCACAGTTATTAGCTGTCAAGGGAGCTAAGGTGGTGATCAGTTTCTAGAAGCGTCAATTGGAGATATCGCGGTGTTAGAGCCGTGTCGGTTCAAGGTAGGCGTAGGTGCAGGGGACCATGCACCTTCCCCACGGAAGCTACCGCAGCCCACTTTGCAGTGGGAGGGGATGTTAAACACCGACTATGAGCGCTAGTTAGCAGTAATGGTGTTTGTAATACAGGAATGAAACTCAGACTTTGATTTGCAATTGGTAGAGAAGCAGGCTCTGGCCGATTTATAATTACTGTAGATTCACGGACCCGAGCTTTGATCTGAATATAGACGTTCTCCAGTGACGGAGGAACCTGGAAGATCGAGTTGCCTGCCACCAACCATTGAGGAGCTAGCGGCGGACCCCGGTCCTAGCTCGGATGCAATTCCACTTCAACCCGTTCGCTTCTCCAACCCGCAACCTCTCTGTCGCATCTGCAGGGAAATACAAGACTACGCCGCGACGATGGCAACCACAGCACCAGAACAAACCGGCTCTCCTCCGCCTCCGCAGTCAGGAGACGAGCCCGTGTATGGCGGCTTCACGCGCTTCGAAATCGAGCTCGAGGTGCGCACACAGTTCACCCTCCCCTTCCACCAGCCGCGAAGCCACAGCTAACCAGACGCATCGCGCGTACGCAGTTCGTCCAATCCCTTGCGAACCCGCTATACCTCAACCACCTCGCGACGCAAAAGCTGCTTACCCGCCCCGACTTCGTTGCATACCTCGCCTACCTGCAGTACTGGTCCCGACCGCCGTACCTGAAGTACCTCATGTACCCCGGCCCGACGTTGAAGCACCTCGAGCTGCTGCAGCAGGAGCAGTTTCGGACGGACATCATCAGCCCGGATCTAGTACAGCGGTTGATTGACGAGGGCATGAAGGCGGCGGTCGACTGGCATCGGAGCGATGCGTGAGGAGGGGGGAAGCAATTGGAGAAGCCATTGGATGGTTGCAATTGAGACCGGCACGCGACGATGACACACATCCGACCTTGAAGGATGTTCCGGACCGGAAAACAGGGCTGCATTGTCCAGTCTGACGACAAGACGTTTGAGTGCGAGGCACTACGGGTTATAACCGACCCGGAACGAGGAGTACGGGCGGCTGCTCGTTGGGAGATGCCTAGAGTCGCAAATCATTACGGTATCGGACACATCACGAGATTATGATCAAAAGACAAGGAGAGTTTGTGGCAGCGAGATAACTCGAATGAAAGGGGAAAAAATACGATGCTTTTCGGCACTGGGTAATCATTCGCACGAAGCAGCCCTATAGGAGCTGTCTCGCTGGATAAGCTCGACCAGCAGCGCCACCAAAGGTCGCAGATATCAAATAAACCAAGTAAACCCAACCGTCCTCCCTAACGCCTCGCAATGCATCGTTAAATATCAGGCTCCCGTCTTGGCATCAGTTCTCTCTCCACCGGTTTCCGCAAGTCATGCACTGCGGACACCGTTAGCATTTGTGTGCACGACCACCCTGGTACCGGGAGCGAAGGGGGATCATACCTTGTAGAAGGTGGTCATGGGCTCGTCGGCACTGCGGATCTGCACCTGGAAGAAGGCGGCCTCTTCGCCGTTGCAGCCTTCCTTGGGGCACTGGGCCCGGGCCTTGTCGGCGTTGTCCCACTCGCCGGGGCCGCCAAAAACGTCCTCGCGCTCCTTGCGCTCGAATTCGCGGCGCGAGTAGATGGGCTCCGTAATGGCATGCTCGAAGGGGCAGGTGCGACACTCGAGGCGGTTGCGCACGCCGGCGAAGGCGGAGACGGTGAGGATGTTGGCGCAGTTGGGGCAGACTGGCGCAGAAGGAGGCTGTTAGTGGGCGATGGAGCGAGCGATTGGGGAGGCGGCGGGAAGGGACGAGGCCTTACAGAGCAACATTTTGACGGACGGGCGAAGTCGCAGCTAGGGAGAAAAGGTGCCGTTGTCTTGTCTTGCGCGGCTCGGTGACGGGCGGTGTAGAGGGTTTGGATGTCGATGCGCAAATGCCCACTTATGTTTGTTTTGGTGAACCGGTCGTGATGCTTTTGGAAAATTCAGCGGGCCTTGGGATGCGACGGTGGGGGACGAAGCGCTGCAGTCAGTCACTCAAAAAGCTTGGACAGGCAAGTAGGTAGGTATGATACCAGGTACCTACACCACCTTAGCGTGCCTTACCTAGGTACCTAGGTACCTAATAAAGAACTTCTACGGTCAGGTTGGAGACCGTTCCGCTGGAATACCGCTTCAACAATATTCCGTGCCCCTCCTTCTTCGGTCCCACACCCCCGCCTTACCCGTTCCCGCCTGTCCATTCGGCGAAGGGGGGCATGTCCTTTGTTCACTGTAAAGCTAACAGTTTGAGGCTGAGGCTACGTACTGGAGCGCTGAGATACAAGCACTACAGCTCTCGATCAGGGGTTGAGCGATCACTGCCACCTCCTTGAACAGACCGCATTCTGGCACCAGCCCCCGATTACGTCTCGTTCATTCAGCAACAGCAGCACCACGCCACTACCAGAGTGTGTGTCACTGAGACCAACACCGTACGCGCAACTCGACGTCCACCGCTTGAATTGACCTCCCCGAACCCAGATCTGCGCATGGTCAGACATCTCTCCGCGTCCTTCTTAGAGAGTCGCTTTTCTCGTGCATCGTCAATCTTCTTCCTTGCCTTCACAACCTGCAGTTGAAGTAAACCACCCCCCAATACCCCTCCTTTCACCCCGATCTCGACCCCACCATACGAGGTTCAGGTACCTACGTAAACCCAAACCGTTCCCGGCTCAGCACAGAGCCAACCCGAAACACGCCTCACCTCTCTCTCTCTCTCTCTCACCCCCACAACCTCAACACACGACACCCAGATAGTTGCGCATCTGCAGCACAGAAATGGCCGCGGACAACGAGGAACACGAGGTAAGTTTCCCTTTCATTCGCGCCTACGTCGTCGCTCTTGTACGGCCGGAAAGCGAACAAGCACTCGAGAGGGGCAGAAGACTGACGGACCTCCCCTTCCCCCTCCAGGGCGCCTCCGTCAAGGAGCTTCTCATCGAGGCCTGCCGGCGCAACAACACCGACCTCTTCAACGAGGTCGTCGCCGACATCAAGGATGAGGACGAGCTCTCCCGTATACTCAACGAGACCACTACTGTCATGGGCAACCACCTCTACCACGAAGCCGCCTCGCGGGGTAACTGTGAGTGCTTCTCTCCCACCCTTCTCGCACCGTCCGGCCTCACACTTCACCACTCTCCCCCTCCGACGCCGATTCTTTCCTCCTTTCTCCAGACATGACAAAACGTAACGGCAACCACGCTAACCTCTGGTCTTCCCTCCTCTCTCCGCAGACGAAATAATCGACCTCCTCCTAGACCAACCAAACTTCGAATGCGACCCCGTCAACCGCCTTGAGGGCGACACCCCCCTGCACACCGCCATCCGCTGGATCAACTCGGAACCCCCGGCCCAGCGCGAGTTCGGCAACGCCCTCGTCGAGATGATGCTCGAGGCCGGCTCCAACCCGCGCGTCAAGAACAAGGGCGGCCTGACGGCCGTCCAGCTCGTCGACCCCCGTAACACCGGCCTCCGCGACCTCATTCAGAAGCACGAGTACGCCTCCCTCAACGCTGGCGACTTCATCAGCGTCAGCTCCTCCTCGGCCGCGCCCAGCACCAAGACCCCCGCCGTCCCCAACGCCGCCGCGCCCCCCGTGCCGACCGCCCCCGCGCCAGGCTACGTTGACGACGAGAGCGACGAGGACGCTGAGTTTAGTGGGAGCGACGACGAGGAGCGCGCCGAGTGGGAGCGGAGACGGAAGGAGCGCGCCGCCCGCAAGGGCTGATCTTTTCCATGTCTCTCGAGGGTGGTTATGAAAAGGGGGGGAGAAGGATCATACCCGAGCAGCGGCCCGCCTGTTTTTCTGTTTTCACTAGCATCGTCTGCTCCTCTTCTTTCTCGGTACCCAGCTTGGACTTTTTGCATTGCATTCACCATCTTACCGATGTTGAGACCCCAGGGGTGTGTGTGTCTGTATGCGTGTGTGTGTGTGTGTGTGGGTGTGGTCTGACGTACAAATACAAGCGGCAGCTTGGTCGTATCCGGGGGGGGGGGGCAAAGAGAAAGGGGTTTGGTTTCCTATATTTTCTTCACAGGGAAAGAAGCCATTCTGCTTACTCGCCAACCCTCCTACAAAACAAATCGAGCGGGAAACGCACGTGGGAGAGGACCCCTCCCCCTTGCGCCTCCTGCATATTAGACTAGGTAGCAATTGCCATCGCGTTACAATGGCATGGGCAGACGATTCCTTCCGAGAAACAAGCAAGCATTCAAGACAAAGGAGCGGAACGAGGGAAGGGAGGAGAAGGGGGATAGGTGAAAGAAAAGAAAAAAAGAGAGAAAAAAAAATGGCAACAAGGGAAAAAAAAGAATAGCAGGTAATATACAGGCTCTTTCGAAAGACCAGGCAAGATTCGGGTTCTCCTTTTTGTCTGATGCGCGCGTGGCGGGAGGAGAAATAGAGAGAGAGGGGGGGGGGGGCTCAGAAAGGAGTGGACGAACGGTACGGGGCGGGTTAGACCGGCGTTGGGCATCGCGTACCTACTTTACCGTACATCCAGCAGGAATTCGACATACAAAGATCACTTACTTATTCTATCATCATCAAGCCGCCGCAGTGATGTATTTAAACAAATTCAAAGTGAGTGGCATTTTTGAGTCCAAATTGCAACGCAAATTGCAACGCAAATCACGGCTGCCAATCCGCCCCGTTGCCTCTGCTCTGCACCGTCGAGTCAGGATTCAACCAAAGTGTGAAGAATTTGCTACGTTGTGCTTGATACGGATATAAGCGCTCTAGGTACTTGAAAGGAAAGGTGCAGCTACGCTGCTGTCTACGACGGCTCATGACCTCGACCCTCCTCCTATATGGTCTTCAGTCTCCATTTCTCTTGTATATCGTCCTATGCATCGTATAGTCGTCCCAGGGTATCCCAATGTTAAGAAATCCAAACCAAAGAAGCAAGAATCATTGCGCGGGTCCTGCCCGCCATACTTGTCCCAGTGAAAGAAAAACAAGACCCATCTACGTCACCACTCTATCAAGAGCGCAGCCGTGATGATCGCACAGATGGTCCAGTGCGACGACACCGCATGGCCTGAGGCAGCGTTCTTCGCGCTCTCAGACTCTATGTAAGTGCGGTTCCTAACCAGCTCCAGGTTCTTTTGGCTCAGAAAACCGGCGCTCGCGATCTCGAACAGCTGCGGCCCCATGGTTCGGAGGATGTTAGTGCTCCGGCCGGCGGGACAAAAGACAACCTCCCAGCCGCCACCCGAGGGGATGATGAAGGTCGAGGTCTGGTCGTCAAAGGCGAAGCTGTACGCGTCAGGACACATAGCCTTGGCGTGCCTGGAGAACAAACCCGGCTTGCATTTATCGGGATCATGCCATTTGCCTATACAGCAGTCGTGGTCCGAGTTCGTGGCTGCGCATTGGCTCTTGCACGGGCTGAAGGTGGGACGCTTGATTTGGTCGTCAGGGTAAGGGTAGACTCCGTCGCCGGGTTTGTCAGGTGGGTTAGTTAGCAGGGGCCAAGGGCACCAGTCTCGGACACTGTCGTTGGATTCGTTTGGTTCCCAAGGGACGGGGAATGTGCTGTTGGTGTAGACGGCTCCACTGGCTGCACGCTGGGCTATGAAGCCTGTCGTCGCAATGCAAGCACAGTTTGTCAGGTTGGGCGGAATGAACGTGGTGTTCTCGGCGGGAATGTAATTGATGCCGACGGGGAGATTGTAGCCGTCGACGAGGGAAATGTCGTAGAATGTCTGTCTCCCGGAGACACCTCCGGCTAGGTTGAACTCGGCAAGGGTCGCAGGAACGGCACCCTGTACGTGTTGTTAGCGCCGGTTGATCGGATCGTGTGGCATGAGACTTACACTGAATTCACAGTCAAGCTTCCCAAAACAGTCGCCCGTTGCGCAGCCAGCCGACTCCCCGTTGACCGTGCAGTTGGTCCTTCCCCAAGCACGGCCCTGCCATGTCGGCCCAACCCATAAGTCTCGACTATCACCTGAGGCGAGCTCGAAGCCTCCGGTTCCGGGGCCGATGCCATGCTGAGTCGTGATGCCGGGCCAGATCGTGCCAGGGCATGAGTTGGTAATCTTCAAGGGTATCCTCCCGTTCCAATCCTCGGGCGGACCTCGTTTGGCGGGGTTGTACCTCTTGTTCAGCTGGAGGTAATCGCTTTTGTAACTCGGGTGGTAGCTGGGGAACACGATTCCATTGGTGGTTGGCAACTGCGAGGCAAGTGCTAGAGCAACCAAGATGTTCCGACTGGCTCTTGTCGAGCGCTTATCGACTTTCCTCGACGACGAGCGTCTCATGATCATTGTGGTGACCGTCTTGAACTCCTGGCCGGTAAAGCTCGAGCAATATGGGAGGACGACTGCAAAAACCAGTTGTATGATGATTTACTCTAGGATGATGAGACAATGCATGGTTTGCAGGCCCCCGAACTTATATGGTCCCGAGAATCGACGGTGTGGTGTAGCTATACGACCGGCGCTAGCGTGGTAGTGATTGGGTGCCACCAATGGCCGATGATGGGCTTGCGCCGAGTGACGTACGGAGCGTGGGAGAGAGCACGAATGGAAGCAAGGGCCAGTGGAATTCCAGGTGGTGATCGGCCAGCTTGATCCAGGGCCAATACTTGATTATCCCTGCTGGCGCGATGTAGCGTCAGCGGCCATCACCAGGTGGGAACCACAGGTCGGTCGGACGGCGCCGTTGCGTGGGAACAAGAACTGGGTCGTAGGGCAGAGAAATTAGGTTGTTTCTTTGCGCTTAAAACAAGCGGAGACAAGTAATGATATAGAATAACGGTTCCGATTAGGAGACGTAGATAAAGGTTCGTGGCGCGACAACCCCAGTGTGAGGTCGAGGACGGTGAAGAAGGACTAGAAGAACTAGAAGAAGGGGAAGAGGAGAGAATGCTTAGTTACAAGACGACAAGTGAAAATCGCATCATATCGCATCGTGGCCCGCATTGCTGGCTACTTGTCGAGGAAGGGCGGAGGGGACGCTGGCCCGTCCCATTTACCTGTTGCCATCGACAGTTGTCCGCGTTGCAAGATGCAGGGCCCGACCTTGGACTGAACTCTGCCTGCAGTTTGGGTTCAGACGATGACGCAGGCACAACTGGCTGCCCGGTTTCCCGTTCGGAACTGCAGGGTCCAGTTTGCCTTGTTGGCGACGGGGGCCTTCCTTGCTTAGCCGCTGTCTCCTGGTCGCAAACTCCACCCGGGAATCGGTAAGTACTATAGGTACCTACGTAGTAGGTAGGTGGTAGGGTAGGTACGATGTATAGTTTAGTGTAATGTGGCTAAGTTAATCTGCGAGATGCTCGCTGTCTCGTGCCAGCCACGTCCTTCGTCTCTCACGCACAGCGTCGCTGGACTGCTAGCCATCGCATCACCACCATAGGTTGTGGGGCTCTCATGAGGAATCGATGGCCACCTAAATATGGGTACCACTTGACACCCCACATGGTGTCACCCCTGGTACCTCTCAGCAGAATGCCTGGGCACGACTCGCACATCGAGAGTTGAGCTTAACCTTGCAGCGCGCTTTGTTATTGATGACTTCGTCTTGCCGCAAATCTCCCTGCCATGAAAATTCTTGCTTGCTTGCTCAAACAGCCTGACCCTTCCGCTAGTGCGGCAATCAGAACTGCACCGCAACCTTTGAAATAGCTTGATTCATCCCGGGCTGGGAATATCGTCCGTCTACACTTGACAATAGACCATTATCCTTCACCGTCATAAAAAACCACGCCCCAGTCCCACCCTCGCCTTCCAGTCATCTGTCTGGGAGGTCTTTTCGTGATATATACTCTCGGCTGTTATTAGCCTCGGCTATCCTTTCCGTCTCACTCGCCTTTTCGAGGTATCATCCGAGTGTATGGGAACGAAATGCCCAATGTAAGCCGGCAAACATTATCAATCTTTCTCTCTTTCCATTACGCCCCTGCCGTCTTTACCTGAAACGCGCCCTGCAGCGGCCCATGACCTCGCCCTGGCAGACAAGCTCTGCGCTGAACTCGGATCCGTCCAGTGTCAGGTAAATGTCAAAATAGACACGGTAGAATGTGCCCTGTGGCGTGTCCATCCTCTCGAAGTCCTTCTCAAGGTTCTTGCGGGACAGATCCGAGGTGAGGGTAACGACTTCCTTGATACCTGAGAGGTGTGCGTTAGCAGTAGCATATCAATGGCAACGTGATGCAACTTACGAGGATCCTTGGTGTACTCGGGGCAGACATCATCATCGCAGGCGTACAGAATATCCTCATACATGAGCGTGGCACCGGGGGCGACTTGTCGGAAGAAGGAAACCTTGACGGGCTCGCCAATCTTGACCTTCTGACCCTTCTGCACAAAGATCTGCCGTGTGAACTTGCAGCGGTCCTTGCCATCGAGGGACGGCACACGGTAGGCCTCTGGGTGGTAACCCTCCTTAAAGGGCTGCAGGGTGGCCATGAGGTAGTGGCGACGGGCGACACGGTGGGTGACGACACGCTCCGTAATACCGGCGGTAACTGCACCCTTGACAATGGCGGCGACCGAGTCCATAGGGCGAACAACCTTGGACTGGAACTGAGGGGGCACGTGGAGCTTGATCTGCTGGAAGAGGTACTCGGAGGCACCGAAACCACCGACGACGAGAATGTTCTGCAGCGTGCGGTTCTGGGCTTGGATGGCGATGATCTGGTTTCTGACGAGCTCGAGAATGCGGTTAACAACGGGCTCGAAGCACTGCAGAATCTCCTCGTTGGTGAAGGTCATGTAACCCTCCTCGATACCCGCCTCGGGGAACTCGGCCTCGATGCCGACGTCGACAGCCCATTTCTGCCCGTTATTGCGGAAGTCGGCCTTGATGCGGTTCTCAAAGTCCATGATGCACTTGGCGTATACGCGACCGGCGGTCTTGGATCCGTCGGGTAGCTTCATCTTGCGGATCTTGGTACGCAGGATGTTGCTGAAGTTACGGTTCAACGCTGTCGAACCGCAAGAGTCACCGGATCCTGCCGTGCACTCAGCCACCGTGAAGGGGTTCTCTTCCTCGACCTCGTACGCAATCAGATCAACAGTACCACCACCGCAATCGACAATCAGCACGGCATCATGCACCTTTAGGTTCAAAAGACCCGTCTTGGAGCAAAAGATGGCGGCGGCCTCTGGCTCGGAAACCAGCGTCAACCGGTTGTCGTTCTCGTCTCGCAGGAACCCGGCCTGGATAGCGGCGGCTCTGGTCGCGGCCTTGCCAGCGTCATTCCAGATGGCAGGGACGGTCAGGTAATAGCGAATATTACGCTCCTCGCGGTTGAAGACCTCACCGAGAGTCTTTTGCAGGGCAGAACGCATCGCCTGGCGGAGTTTA